AAAGTCCACATGGAAGGAGCACACCAGCCTGTGTGATCATGAGGTATCGATGGGATAATGTATCAGGCATCAAAGACCCAGAACAAAAAATCATATCATTGTGAATGAGGGGAAGTGCAGAGTGGAGAACCAAAGTCCATCTGTAGACGATTGGACATCCCCTTACATAAGGGTCACAAGGAAGAGGCGAGCCAGTCAGGGTGCAGTATAGCACCAATGAAACATACAACTTTCTTCTGGCTCTTTAATACTTCCTCCCCCACACTATCATGACCCCAATTCTACCTTACAAATCTCGCTAAGCCAGAGCACATGCACGGGTACAGATAAGAGCTGGAAACACAGGGAATCCAGAACAGATAAACCCCTCAGGACCAATAATTAGAGTAGTGATACCAGGAGGGGAAGGGGAAGATGTGGGGAGATAGGGGAAACCAATCACAATGATCTACATATAACTCCCTCCCAGGGGGACGAACAACAGAAAAGTGGGTGAAGGAAGACATTGGTCTATAAGACATGAAAAAAATAATAATTTATAAAAGTATCAAGGATTCATGAGAGAGGGAGAGTAAGGGAGGGAAGGAAAAAATGAGGAACTGATACCAAGGGCTTAAGTAGAAAGAAAATGTTTTGAAAATAATGGCAACAAATGTACAAATGTGCTTGACACAATGGATGTGTATATGGATTGTGATAAGAGTTGTACGAGCCCCCTAAAATGATTACAAATATAATAATAATAAAAGAAACTGGAGAGGTAGATTGTGGTTACTACATTTTTAAGGTTGTTGGGTTTTATCCCAGAGAGCAAAATGACAATGATTATGTGGGGATGTGTTTTAACAGAAGAGTCACATAGTCGAATACAAATGTTCAAATATAGAGAACAGATTGGAGATAAGAGCTCTTGATTCCTTTGAAGACATATGAGTGGCATAAATGGTTAAGCCATTGTGGTAGTTACACCATCTGATGTCAATGAGGATTAAGAGTGAAGGGGTGGAGTGTAGCCTGTCAATCAGGTCGTAGTTTGGTGACCTCATGTAGAGGTGCTAAGGAGATAAATAGCTTGCTGGAGGCGGGACACTTGCTCACTCCCTGAGAGTCGCTCTACTGACAACACTCATGGCACTACGCTGATATAGCCCATGCCCTGGGAGCTGGAGGAGCCATGTGGAGGCCCCTGCCAACGCTGAGATGCGTCTACTGCCCCAGGATCCACAAGAGTTTGCACCCACTGCCTGTGATCTTTCTGAATTCGGTGTCATTGCATGTGTTTCCTGAGTCTGAAGAGGACTCGATAGATTGGAACCGGACATATGTGTTAATATCGGACTTATGGACTTGATCTGAACTGGGCTGGGATGTTTTCTCAATATTCAATTGCTCTTGCATAAAGCTCTTTCTTGTACACATGAGTCTCTTTGGATTTTTTTCTCTAGTCAACCTTGACTAACACACCAAAAAGTGGCTCTTCAAATCCACCCAGGATACCTCAGAAAAAAAGTATATCAATCTACTTCAAAAAGATCACAGTCATTGAAAACTATGGAACACAGTTCCAATCTGAAGCATAGGAGGTCCCTATGAGTCAGAATGAACTTGACAGCAACTAACTTGGCTTTGTTTGTCCTTTGAAGACAGGAGGTTACTGCAGTGATCAGGTTATGAAATACAGAACACAGAGCCAAGGCATCAGCAATAGGAAGACAAAATAGTAGAGCTATTTTCATGGTAACATTGACATTAGCTCACTGCTGTCAAGTCAGTTCTGACTCATAGCAACACTACAGGACAGTGCAGAACTGTTCCCTAGGGTATCCAATGCTATAAATCTTCATAGGATCTTTCTTCCACAGATCAGCTGGTGGGTTTGAACAGTTGACTTTGCATTTAGCAGCCCAGCACTTAGCCCACAACACCACCAACGTTCAGCAATGATATTGATGACCAGTTAATAATAACTAAAATATGATGAGCACTTACTGAGTACTATATTTATTTCATACAGTGTCAACTCTTTCCACCTCTATTATAATTTATCGATATCCCCAATTTATGTGTAAGGAAATTAATGTACATAGGAGATTAAATGGTATGTCCAAAGTGACACAGCTAATACGTGGTAGCTCCAGGACTGAACCTGTTCAACCCTTGAGTCACCATGTTCTTCCCTAATGTTGGTTCCTCTTTTCTCATCTAATAATCCTTACACCAAGAGTCTTACTGCTCTAATGAAGAGCTTAGCTTCTAGATTCACTGGCTCTAAGATATCTGCGGGCATCAGAATTGACTAGAATCTTAGTGAAAACTGACAGGAAGAGAGGTACTGTCAGAAAATCTTTA